CTCTTGTTCTTATTTTTTCTTTTATAAAAACTTATTAAATTATATCTATAATCCACTCATATTAATTTCAATATGTTACTCTAATGTAATATGATACTTTTGAAATATGCATTGATATGACATTTTAGAAATGAGCATAACATCAGTACCAAATGAGCATACATAACCTACAAACTGCACATTGATATGAAAAACGTAAGGTTTGTTGATTGAACGTCACGATATTTTAATTGAGCATCAAATCTCCGCTATTGAGATGAAAATTAGAGTTTTTGGTGAATGAGCATTAGTGAACTTTTAACGAGCATCAGAGCTATTATGTTGAGTATTAGGAGTCTAATATTCAGAATCATGATCTCTGCTTCATAACTTCAAATTCACTTTCTTTTTGTTATTTTTTCTTTTATAAAATCGTATTAAATTATATTTATAATCAACTCCTGTGATTCTAATGTAAAATAGTACATTTAAAAAATGCAATCATATAACATTTAGAAAATGAGCATAAAATCAGTACCAGATGAGCATGCGTAACATACAAAATGCTCATTGATATGAAAATCATAATGTTTGATAGTTGAACAACACGAGATTTTCATTGAGCATCAAACATCATCTATTGAGATTGATGAATATCACAATTCCTATTAAATAAATTTTAAGATGTTAAATCAATGCACATTTCTTGTAAGGACTATACTCATAATGGACTTCTTTTAGTGCACATTTGCTTTATATATTACACTCATTTAAGTATAACATAAAATAAAACATTAATTTCTTAAATATAGATCATAAATTAAAATCAATGGAAAAGGTGGTTAAGAAAAAAGGAAAAAGAAATTAAAAACAAAGAGCTACGTAAAAAGCGAAAAGAAAATGTGAGAGAAGGAAGAGAGGATAAAAGAAGTCAGAGACTAAAGAGAGCAGATGCGTAGTGAACTCAATTGGCAGGGAAATAATTAAAAAGAACGTATGGACGGATGAACTACAGCCATGCAAATCAGAAACAATTACAAAAATACCCGGATGTATGGTGAGGACCGTACATCCGGGTGTACGGTATAATTTGCAGGTTCTTATAACGTTGGTTTTTAAAATAACAGTCGTGGAATATTTTTTTTAATTATTAATAAATCTATAACGACGGTTTTTTGGAAACCGACGTCAAATGTATGACGTGGTAAGTCATTCTTGTAGTAGTGTTATAAACAACCATTTTATGCCTCTTTTATCCTTTTAAACATCACATATGTTTTTATAAACATTTTCATACCATATTTCATGCATATTTCAATAGTTCATTTCATATATGCCTAATCACATGGTTAATCTCTTTTAAACATCATTATGAACACATATAACATTTACTTAGGTAATCTCATGCTTAACCCAATAGTTACAAAACATTAAGCCATCCACTAACCTCAAATGAGCTTTAAGAAGTTCTACCCTTCTCGGTTGAACTCCGGCGAAACTCTGGCGAACTTTGACGAACTCCGGCGATAACTTCGGCGACTCTTTCAACTGCATGAAAGTACTAGGAACACCTTAGTCAAGCTCCTAACAAGGTTATTTTTTAGCATCACAAAACCCATATCAACAGAAATAACCTCTAAAAGGTTATTTTCTGGCGAACCGGACATTTTGGCTTCTAAGTCCGTTCTTGAACTTAGAACTACCTTTCCACACCTCATTCTACACTTCTAGATATGTAGAACAATCCTAGGGGGTACTTCACATGATGCATAAGTCATATGAAGTTCAAGAGTACATAAAAGTTGTTATAAGGTCATTACCTTAATGTTTCACACCTTTCCTTACTTCTTTCCTTCTTCAAACACTCTCTCTTGGACCTTCTTCCTTTAGTTCGAGTTCAGCTATGGAGAATGAGTATTTTGAGAGATTTTCCTCTCAAAATGAATGCTTGGGCGAGCTAGATGATTGGGGGTGACAGAGGATGGCTTATTTTGTCTCAAATGACAAATAAGTGATGGGAAGGGGGTCCTCCTTGTACTTAGATGCCAAAGCCACCTCTTCCACATCTTCTTTTGTCTACTCCAGCCCCCTCATGTCTAATTGAGAACACAATTTCGTGGGGTGGCTCCCACTCATGTGGGAGGTCATCCCATTAAGCCCCGAAATGTACATTCCGCACCGAAAGTTGTATTTTCTCAGACTGTTTTAATTATATTTTATTTTATCGGATCAAATAAAATATAACACATGTTCCTAATGTTGGGTGTGTTTCAAAAAACAAAGAAAATAATTAATAAAAATTAATTAATTAAAATGACTGAAGAAAACAGAAATGAGATGAGGCAGAATTTAGCTAGAGCTCGTGCTACGCACGATGTCCTTAAAACGTATTCGTTGCCTCCCACGATGCTAGGAGCGTTGTAATGACCGTTTTCCAGGATACGGTGGCTAACGAACTAACGTTTGAGAACACAAACAAAAGTACCGGCGAACGAGAACAAAGAAGAACACTCGAGAATTTTTCGGAGTACCGGAGGTGTGTTTTTAGCTCAAAACCTTTGTGCTAACTGTGCTATAAGATGTGTTGTTGCACAACACCTGCCAGGTATATATATGGACGGATTTGTGGTGTGTTAACTCAACTTTAATGGACCTGAACGTTGGACATCAATGATCAGTCCGTTGGGCATTGAATCATCCATGAACTGTCCATTTAACGCTGTATTAAAAGATAAGAACGTTGGGCATTTACTGCTGTAACGGTTTAGGTGTGCGACCACAACACCCCACTAAAGTTGCTCTCTGGTCTTCTGTTGGGAAGGCACCAGAACACCCCTGTAGTCTTCTGTTCGGATGACATTCGTGTCCGCAGGTCACCCGCGCAAACGAGTTGCGGTTTTTATTCTCCGTTTTCAGGATTTGATCGGCACCCCCTGCGCGCGAAGAGAGCCTTTCCCCGTAGGAATCTTAACTCATTCAAAGAGGGTTCCCTTTATAAGGGGGTGAAAATCACATGGGTTTTCCGGTGTGGGATAAATCCCACTAGAAACACATCATTTTCCCAGTTTTTCCATTATAACGAGTGAACTTCGAGAATCAATTTCTCATTCACCCGTTATCCGTTTTGAGTGTACCATATATCGAATTGTAGCCCTTAACAAGGACAATCCGAAATCACTTTGACCCGACCCAAATCGGAAGTGGACCCCACTCAAATAATTGCCCCAAGATGACCATTTAATGCAATTTATTAACACATTTTCCAACACCTAATCATTATAGGCCTTTAAAACGGATGTACATTCCCCAACTTTAGTTTAGACGTCTCCGAATTTTATTTCGGGCTGTTATTTGATAAATTACCAATACCGGTAATTGGGTCTCATTTGACCAACGGGTCAACTCTATGCCTTTTCTATGGCCCAACTAAAATATCCACCACCATATACATATTATATAGACCAAGATGAATATAATATGTGCTTCCGGAATTATCGGGTGGTCCTTGTTTCCGGTGTGGGTCTCACGTGCAATTTACTGTTCACGCAAAAGAACTAACAAAAATTTACAACCTCGTAAATTCATAAATCATTCTTTAAGTTTTATTACATGATTTACTGAAGCTAAGGTATGACATCAAAATGTAGCTCCCCATAAGGTTGACATTGTCCCACATAAGCATGACATCAACACACGTGTTCCCAAAGTATTTAAACAACACATGTAACTTTATCATTAGCTAGTATTTTAGACTAAAGCTCAAGTCTTGTATTTTTTTCATATAAACAGTTAGCTTCCTCTTTGAGAAAGGGACTGAATTTTATGTAGTATTATTCTGCCAAATTTATTACGCCGTTTCTTCACTCTAGATTTGTTTCAACTTCTCTCTGGATAAAACACATCTTACTAATAAAAGTTTTATAAACAAAAACGTGACTAAAGATACTACGATATAGTTTTATAATCAATATATTGTTGGTAGTACAAAACTGAACATCAATAGTCATTAAAAGTAACTATGTAACATATTTGCTCACTAGAAAACTAATAAAAAACCCCAAAATTTTAAAGGGTCTGAGATGAACACCCCAAACTAGCATATGTAATTTAAATATCTCAAATTTTGAATAAAAAGTTATTTTCGCATCATTGTCATGTATTATTTCTTTCAAAAATTTAAATTTATGAGACTCGTTGCATGTTTTTTTTTTGCGAGGGTTCATTGCATAATTTAAAATAGCAAATTAAAAGTGTTGCTATTATATAGATTGGGGGTTAATTATTTATTTCTCAATGGAAGTTGAAAATGTTAATTGTGTCTTCATGAGTTCCAAAATATTTTAAATTATGCAATTAACACTATAAATTTATATTTTTGAAAGAAATAATACTTGACTATGGCGCTAAAAATATTTTTTATATAAAGTTTGGAGTATTTAAATCACATATGAAAGTTTGAAATGTTATCTCACAATCCTTCATACTTTAGGCAGTTTGGGGTATTTTGATAATATATTAGGTACTATTTCAATTCCTACATATTTCCTTATATCGAGATCTACTTATTCAAAATTGAAAGTCAAGCGCTTTAAGCATGAGTCATGACCAAGCATTGTTATGACTAAATACGGAGTATACTTTTACTTGGTTTGAAATTTTCATCTAGTAGATGTCTAGTCAAAGTATGATCTAGTCTAGAACTAAAACAAATTCAATTAATAAATTTTAGAGTACGTTTGTTATATATTACCTCCTCCCAATTTGATTTGTAAAAATTGAATAACACAAAAATTAAAGAAGATAATGATTTAAATGTGGTTTTATAAGCTAGAGAAGCGTTTAAGTAAATGGAAAACATGTACTCCCTCCGTCCCATATTTAACTCCGGTTTTGACCGAGCACGGGTTTTAAGATAGTGGGATTGTGTGGTGGAGAGTTATGCAGAGGAGAGAGAAATGTGTAAGAATGGTTGTGAACCACATATTCTTTACCAAAAAGGGAAAAAGGAGATAAATTTGGGACGGACCGAAAAGGAAATAATGAAGATAATTCCGGGACGAAGGGAGTAAAAACAAATCTAGACGAAGAGAGTACATTTTTGTGCACATTCTTATTTGACATGTAATTATTGGAATGCCAACTTTTCATCACCCAATGATTACAAATGACATAGGAATGTACACAAGCATTGGTTATTCCGAGCCAAACCCAAACCACAGTGAAATCTGGAAGAACTTAAAAAACCGATCCTACTCAACTTCCGGTTGAGGTTCTTCACTTTTCTGGCCAAAATGGGGCTTGGTTTCTCCTAGACTCCTAGGTATACTAATTCATGAATCATCCAAGTTCCTAAAATCAAAGTATAGAAAACCTACTAATTTATACTAATTGATTTATATACAATTCTGTTCTGAAACAAACAGAACACCATAGTACGTGAAATGATCACAAAAACCAGAACATCTCAAGAGCAGCATATCAACCCGGCACGGGTCAATAATGCGTAACTTAGCTTCAGGCTTCAGCAGCTAGAATTCTAACTAAGCCACCCCATACCAGAAGCATAATAGCACCAGCTTATCATAATTCATTGTTCATGAGAATGAAGGCTGTTAAAACTTGTTTACATCATGAAACTATTTACAGATATTAACGATATAGGGCAGCCCCTCATCGAATGTGAGGGCGATAGGGAGCGAACTCAGGTTCTGGAATGATGACAGGTAACTTCTCGATGTACCTATACAGCCTCTGCCAGTCCTCTTTCAGAATTAGAGGTAATTCAACAGTTTCACTTTTCTCCACACATACCCAAAGGTCACCTGAACTTACTCGTCTAAGACTGCTTCTACAGAAAGGGCATGACTGAGACCTGCTACGCCTGAAGAAACGAGAAAATCCGTTATGTCACAACCAACATAATATGTTCAATGAAAGACTGGAGCATTAGGCTGTGTTTATTTCCCAGAAAATGCATGGGAAAGAAATTAATAAAAATACCAAGGGTAATTATTTTGAAATAATGAAAATATACGACTAAAATAAAAATAATGAACAAAAATGTGAATTTACAAAAGTTCCAATTTTTGTAGTAACTAGTTAGTGTAGTATTAGATATGAACTTCCATTTTACTATGCAGTGACTAGGATGGTACTTTAACTGTGAATAACTGAATATGGTACGGAGTATTATAAAGAACCACCTCATTATTTTTGTTATGTTCGTTTTTTTCCCATGAAAATGCAAAGAAAAGTAAAATATGATAAAGAAAAACTTAAAATGGTAACAGAGTTATGAGGTAAAAAGATTTTAAACAGACACGAAAAATTGGTTTATTGTGTATTTGTGTCCAAAGCAATTTTTAGTTTCTCACAATTTCCTCAGTCCTCACAGAGTCACAGTTTTCTAGCTCTGGCATTAGATGCAATCCAAATGGCCTTCCTACACGCTAGATTTTTACAAGTTGTTTTTCCGACTTGAAGCCATTTTTACCAGAGCACCAAAGCTTTAATTGAGTTGCAGCAAGTTTACTAGGCATTGTACAGTTGCAAATGTAGGTGCAGAAAGCATAAAAGACATGGCAAGGGTGCAGGACTTACCAGTCCTGGTAGCATCCTAAACATAAGGAATGCCTGCAATCTGGCAAAACAACTTTGCTATTGGGTTCCAAACAGATCCCACATTCGGCTTCTCTCTCTAATTCAACCTCGGAAAGCTTCCCTTTGCTTGAGTACCTTAGGGAACATATTTCTTTCTGCTTGATTTCTTCAAAATCAGTAATCCCTCTTAGGATTTGCAATGAGGGGAAAATTATTTCTGCAGAAACAAGGGTCATCTGTAAAGACAAAATGCACCAAGGGAATTATCTATTCTCCACCACCTTGTTATAACTGACTCACCATAAAAGTCCCTTATGCTTGCTCTCCTTTCTTTGATATACATAGAGGTTTTTCCATCAGCATACGCCTGCAGCATAAAAAGAATCCCATTCTATAATTGCTGCAAGATTTTCTAACAAATAGAGGTGTTCTTAAGAAACGTTAGATGCCAAGGGTACATTTGGATTCCCGACTACGATACTGAAGAGGGACGAAAACTGCTAAGGAAAGCTGTTTTCTTGTGTATGGTTTTACTTTAAAAATTCCGAGGAACAGGAAATATTATTTGTGTGTATGAGTAAGCTTGTGTATAAAAATTTACCTATATTTATTTTTCTTAGTCTTTAGAAAACAGACACAAATAAATGAATTAAATGAGTATGAACAAGTTTCCAAAATAAAACTTATTGAGTCTTATTTCTTTCTAATTACCCTCTACGACTCTACGTTTTCCTTCATATTTTCTTTCCATTACATTTTTCGGGATCCAACCGAACTCTTAAATGTAGGGTTAAGAGAAATATAGTGCCCAGACAGAACTTTATTTTGGAACAAGTGATAAGAGCGCCAAAATTACAAGAGACTCACCATATACACAAGAACTTGAAGCAGGCCAAGTGCCCCAGCAACCTTACAATCAAACCACTGGATGAGAAAAAGGCAGAACTGTGCAGCTGGGCTGTAGGACAGTCTCATTTGGATGCAAGCTCCATCTATTTCTCTGCCATAGCCCAATGCCCTGATGCAAAGAAGGAAATGAGAAAATTATTTTGCAAATTTCTTCCTTGAGGTCGGGTTTCTATTTAACTTGGAAAGTGTCATTTTCTCATGATAGATGTATACTAAATGTAAATAAGTTCTTATAGCACCAAACACGCTGTTGTATACTAGCAAAGTAACAATAAATATTTATAGCACCAAACACGCTGTTGTATACTAGCAAAGTAACAATAAATATTTATAGCACCAAACACGCTGTATACTAACAATAAAGATAGATGTAAGTTTTTAGATACATTCTCGCGTGGCAAGCATTGATTAGGTAACCAAATGTTAGTTAACATTTCATTACCCAATACATTCATGCCACATAAATAGATAAGAATGTAGCTAAAGAATGTATAAAATAAATGTTTGTCCATCCTTACTCTATACTAATGGTTATTGGTATTTTATATTATTAGGAACTGAAAATCTCATATTCCATTGAAGCTCAGTTGTGTTACAACTCTGGATTTTATGATAAGTCAATCCACTTAAGACATACATATAATCCTCCTCGCTTCACCAAAGCATCTCAGCACCTATCTATTGGACCAAAAGAACTTGCAAACCATTACCGTACTATCAATTCCAGCCAGTACCTCAAAAATTTACTGGAATCAGGATAGTCCCGAGGAAAAACTCATTCATATAAAATTTTACACAAAAAAAATGTATAAATTACATTTGAATTCTTATTTTTGCCAAACAGGGGTAGACCCGAGCCCGCTTGGCCATCCTTTACCAGTTTAGCACTTTAGCCACACCCCCAATTCCAGGTAAAATGGTTGTTCAAGCCTTCTAGAGCTTTCTGTCCAAGCCTGAGTGCATCCTTTATGAAGCATATAATTCTTTTCTGTCAGTCCAAAACAATTAAATACCAAGTTTTCGATTTTATCCTTTATCTATTTTTTATAGCTATATACTTTCTATATACTCTTATTAATTTATTTTACGGAGTATCTCTTTCAGAAGGTTAAAATTGTAGAATAAAAATTACCTACTTTACTTTCTTAAAACTCTCCTACACCCAAATATATCATACCTTCCATTTGGGAGTACTATTTTTTCTACCGGACAAAAAAGAAACATCCACACAAATTTGCTACGAACAAGAACAACTATGCCTGTTACTCTTGGAAAGCAGATTTTATCACCAGAACAGCTGAACGGAGCATGTCTGAGTTTATTTATTTCAAGTTACAGTATTAATTCAAAAAAGTTTCAAATTATACATCAAAATAGTCCAGAAAACGAACAATAAGCTTACTATTTACAGTTTTTGCCAAAAGGATTACAAAAACCAGAGAGTTGAAGGGAGTTACATAGTGTTGGCTAGCTGAATATCAGCTTCCAGAGACTTGAGTGAATCCTTGAACGATCTCCCCATCGATTCTCCAAACCGTCCCAGCAAAGATGATCAAACCCCAGTAATTCTCATTCAACAACTGATATAATAAAAACCCACCGATTCCCGTGAGAAATATCTTCAACTACACGTCTCTCTGATCGCCTGATTAACCAACCACAACCTACTTTCCAGAATTCTCACTCTACTTTCTTAAGTACCCAGAAAAATAAAATCTTTCCCCTTTTTATTTCTTTTCAGATTAAAAATTTGGATTTTATTTATTCATTGCGGCCTTATCCAATGTAGATAACCGTAGCAGAGGGTCACGATAGGATGCGACGCGGGTCATTATCAACTACAGTGGACCCACCAAAAACTCCACCAGCTGGGGGCATTTCGGGCATTCCAAAGAGCATTGGATTGACGTGGCGACGTGTGATTGGGTATGTAGTAGGGGTTGAGATAGCGTGGTTTTAGCGGAAAGAAACGTAAATCCGGGGATGAAATGGGGAGTTGCTGGTTTGAAAATTAAGCAGGCCCACCGGAGTGATGGTTTAGGATGTTAAGTGTCAATTGAAAAGGACATACCCAACTTGGGATCAGAAAAGACTCTTAACCCAACTTAGATTTCGAATTAATTCAATTGAATTAAAACTAGTCTTCTCAAACAGATTTTGCATAGTATTAGTATGATCTTGTATAGTAAGGTTGAAATTGACTGTAATTTGTTAGAATTGACAAAATTCTCGTCATAGCTGTTAAATTGCTGAATCTATTCAATTATGAAAAATTATACTTAAAATACGTTTTACTAATAAAACAAAGAAATAATTAAACGAAAAATAGCTAAAATGATCTATTAGATTAACTTTAGTCAATCTAGTTGGAAAAGTAATTATACCTTTACTATTTTAATTATTATACAGCTTCGTGCGTAAAATTAAAAAGTTATGTATTGATGGAGTATATGAACCAGGGACCCTCGGTCCACAAACTCCTACTACTCTAACACAGGCCCAACGAACCCAAGAAGCACAGGAGGCCCAAAGAACAACGGCCCAAATATCAAGAAGAACACGGTGCACATACGGGTGCCTTCGGCCCCATGGTCGAAGGCCCCAAAATTCACAGGACAGCTAATTTTACGCATACAAACCTACTGGGAGAAAACGGCGGAAGTCAGGAGCCTTCGTCTCATGCATGCCTTTGGCACTTGGGTAGTCTTCGGCCACACAGAGCCCCCGCCCACAGGGGAGCCTTCGTGTACAACACAAACATCGAAAATTCCCTTTGAAGGCAAGCAACAGCCGCATTTAATGCGGCATCACATCCATCCACCGCATTTAATGCGGTACACATGCGCATGTCGGTGCCATCCCGATTGAAGTGACCCCTCGACCGTTAGATTGTTGACACATGTACTCTCATCGCATTTATTACTACTATAAATAGCAACCCATTCTCCAATGTAAAGCATCACAAGTTCTATTCTCGAATACACTTTCTCTCTCTTACTTATTGCTCTGACTTCTCTCTAGGTTATTCCCGCAACAACCCCTCGGATAAGCTACCCCCGGGTACACTATCCATCATTTGGTGCTCTCGTTGAGAGGTCGAACAATCAAGTAAGAAACTATCCCCTTCACCGAACTCAAAACATCTACAAAAATGGGTAGAACCACTCGTGCCCAGTCCAAGACCCTTGAGGACAACAACCTGGCCCTCGGCGAAGTCAACGCCCCCGGAGCCTCCAACAAGGCTCCCGAGGGAGGGGTCATCGCTGGGTTGTGTAAGGAATATTTGTAATTAGATTTTGATGATGCTAGATTTATTAGGACTTTAGAGTACCCCTCTTTAGATTTGCTGTATTAGAATTTTCCTCTGTAAAGTTCTTAGTATAATCGACTTCCAGAAGACCTCCTGACAGAAGATCTTTGGTTCTCTGCTTTAGAACAGAAGACCTCAGGGTCTCTGTTAGCCTTTACTCTGATAGAAACCCTCCTGGTTCTCTGTTGGATATCTTCTCAACAGAAGTGCTCAAGACCTTCTCTGATCGACTCTCTGTTAAAGACACCAGAAGGCCTGACACTTAGAAGAATTCCACCAACCCGGGAAACCAACTGAAAGATTCCTTCAACGGCTAGGAGTCTTGAACGGAAAAGCTACTGTGCGCGCATTAAATGCACATTTAATGCTCCCCATGCTCCGTAGAGTAATTGCAGATGATTGGCCGCAATGTCAGGGTTACTTTATCCCAAAATAGTAACCCGCCAACTCTACCGGGTCCTACTGGTCAAGTCAACTGCTCGCTCATTTAATGCAGTTGTCCTCCTTCTCCTCTAACGGGAAGACAACCCCAGTATAAAAGATACACTACGAAGAACAACCGGATAACTTTGCTAACCTTTGCTACAACTCTGCATATACAAGAAATTCAAACGCTACAAAGAAAAAAGCCTCCTTGAGATTAAAACTTCATCATCTTCTACAAGAGAAGGCAGAAGTTGGAAAAATCCTTATTTCCAACTCAAGCAAAGTTCCAAGTGTTCTTCAACTCTTCAAGCTCATTACTTACAAATCCCTTGTAACGAAGCAAGTTGGAGGGACCCCTGTTCTAAATAGAACCTCTTCTTTCACAAGAAGGACGTCCAAGTACCTGGAGCTGTGAAGTGGTGATACTTCTGGGAAAGCTCAGTGAAAGGACCAGTCTTAGGGAAGCCGGAAGTGCATCCAAGAAGACATCTACACTTGAAGAAGACGTGGAGAGCTTCTTAAGTGATAGGGCTAAGGCATTGTAAACGGAAGTTTTTACGAGCTTAGTGGAACAGTGGACTAGAGGAACAAGTTGTTCCTTGAACCACTATAAAAAGCCCTGGTGTCATTTACTTACAGCTTTAGTTTCATAGTATTTATTTGAACTGTTTAACTCCAAAGACTTGGTATCTGTGTTCAGCAGAACTGGTCTTGTGAGTTAACAGAAGGCCTACTGCCTTTGCTTCTCTGAGGCTACTAACAGAACACCCTTTCAGAACCCCATCCGCTGCCAGTCTGTTTTGTCAACAGAACAGGCTATTCTGTTAAATCTGGTACTTAGCTTGAAAAAGTTAAAAACCAATACAGTCTATTCACCCTCCCTCTAGACTGTATCCAGTACAACCGGGACCAACAAGTGGTATCAGAGCCTCATTGTTCTAATAATCTCTTAGGTTATTTGCTGAACAAAGATCCACTTGTTTTTTCTGTTTTAACCTCATTTTTATCTGATATAATGGATCACTCTTTGTCCAAGAATCTTATGTTCTCAGATCTCAAATTTGATGACTGGAGGATCCGGATGAAGGCACATCTCTGTGCTCTGCATGATGAGATGTGGGAAGTACTTGACATTGGGCCCTTCACAAGCTTCCAGAAGGTCAACCCTGAACATGCTATTGACAACACTAGACCTCAGATGATCAATAAGGCCAAATCTGAGTGGACCACTAAAGAAAGCAGGAAGTACAATCTGGACAACATTGCTAAGGATATTCTTTACAAGTCCATCGATGATAGGTACTTCAACAGAATAAAGAAGTGCAAGACTGCAAAGGAAATCTGGGATACTCTTGAGCTCATTGGAGCTGGTGATGAGCAAGAGAAGGACAACAAGCTGACAATAGCCAACAAGAAGTTTGATGACTTCAAGCTTCTTCCAGGTGAAAGCATCTCCAAGATGTATGACAGGCTCCTCACTCTCACTGGAGAGATCTCTGAGCTTGGAAAGGAACTCACCACCAAAGAGATCAATCTTAAGGTGTTGAGGGGACTCCCCTCAGCATGGAAGATGAAGGTGGTTGCTGTCCAAGCCAGCAAGGATGTGAAGACTTCTCCCACTGATAAGCTCATTTCAGATCTCAAAGTTCATGAGTTTGAAATGATTGAAGAAAAGGAAGATGTACCAGAAGAGAGGACCACTACAGCCCTCACTGCCAGCACATCAAAGGTAAATGATTTTGACCCTTCAGTACTTTTATCTGACGAATATATGGCTGCTTTTGCTAGGAGATTCAAGAAGTTCATGAAGAATCCTAAAGATGGAAGAAGTCCATCATTCAGCAGAAAGCCATTCCAGAAGGTCAAAACAACAGAAAGCAGTGGTGAGCTTCTCTGTTACAACTGCAGACAACCTGGACATTTCAAAGCAGAATGTCCACACCCGAGAGTGTCCAAGAAACAAGGGCATGATGGAGAAAATAAGAAGTATGAAGACAACTCCAGAAGGAGAAAAGCACTTGTGACAGAACAACTCGAGAAAGACCCTCTGTCAGAGACAGAATCCAGTTTTGACTCAGATTCTGATGAGGCCTTCTGTTGCCTTGATACTGAGACAGAAGACCTATGCCTCATGGCTCATTCTGATGATGAGGTAACCTCTACTTCTGCATCTAGTTTTTCTTCGGTAGGCTTAGCTTTTGATTCTGATTCAATGTCAGAATTTTGGGAAGAGTTTAAGGCCATCCAAGCCACTTATTCCTCTGTAACAGAAGAAAACAGTAAGTTGAAGGCTAAAATTCTTGACTTAAAAAAGGAGGTTGAGATCAAAATCAACCTTCTAATTAAGGAAAGGGATCATCTGGAGACTGAAAATGTTTCTCTTCTCAAGAGAATAAGAGAAATAGAGCCTCTCGAGATTAAGTACAAAGCTTACCAGAAGGCCCAGTCTTCCATGGAAATGATTTTACTTGATCAACAGATTGGCACTGGCTTTGGTCTTGGTTATGGCTCAACAGAATCAGGCGAGCCTTCTGTAATGCCTAGCACCAAAGTTGCTAAGGCAGATAAGGTCATAGTGCCACTAATCTCTAGCCCCATCTGTCAAGCTGGCGTATCTGGCACCAAGGTCTTTCATGAGGAAGTTAGACCAGAAAAGGGAAAGATAAAGGTTCAACAGAAACCCTTTTTGAAAAATAATGAACCTGGCAGAAAACCTAACAACAGAAAAGGTTTTCAGGATAACAAAAATAAAAGACCATTCATTGACAGACAACCTCATGACAATCGTGCCAGAAATGATCACCAGAAGGGCAAATATCAAGAGAGAGTTAACTTTAGGCAGAAGGGGTTGGCTGGTCAACTTCATAAGCCCAAAGCTAATCGTCCCTCTGCTCGTGATAGTATATGGGACTTCTTTGCAACAAAGAAAGCTATGCAAAAATATGTAAACAGGAAGCATGACCCTCACAAGCATCTGCCCAAAGTAAATCACACTTCAGTTTACTATAACTACCAGGTGGACAATGGGTACCACCCACC